ATTTATCCAACCGCTTAAAAAAGTAAAATTATGCAAAATTGCAAATTTTCCCCTTACTGATACCTTAAAGGGGCAAAAAATAAAAAAACATAAGTGAGTGAATATAATGCAGAGCTAAAGGCAACCCTCTGGACAGGTATCTCATCATAATTTCCACTTTGTGGCATTGCTAGTATTTCTGGTGCAACAGTTTTCAGTTAGGCTCCAGTTCTCAAATTGCCACATTTTGTGGGCATGCCTCCATTGATTCTGCAACTCCAAGATATCAGCCACCCCCCACCCCCAAGAAAAATCCTGTCTCCACCCCTACTTAAAGGTCCACACAAGGTAAATGAAAAAAAAAGCCAATAAAAACTACTTCCCTGCTTTGAGAAATCCTCATATTCAAAACATGTAGCAGATATCGTTTGGATCAAAATTAAGCAGAATAATTATGTGCAACTTAAGTTACTAACGACCAGTCTTACCTTCCATCAGCATTTACTAGCAGCTGTTTTGTTTCAGGGTGATAAGCCAGGAGTGAAACCTTCAAACCACTGCATGCGCTGTCGACACGCGACCTCCACAGGCTCAGCCATAGGTTCTCAAACTTTACTAGTGCTGTGGCAATGCGATTGTAGAACTTGACAATGCGACCAAAATCCTGATTGAATAAGAAAGTAAATTTATTCACCCTAAGTTATACACTTTGGCATGTTAATAAAAGTTCATTATTAATGAATTATTATTACATGTATGTACTACTTACACCAGAGTTCCCATTAATGCACAGGAGTGCGTCTTATACGCACAAAAAATGAAAAGGACACACAGTTTTTTTATAAAGGGCATCATTGGGATGCAGGAAAAAAGTTCCAAGAATTTTAGTAATAGACAAAGGACCCCTGAAATGCAAAGAGAACCCCCAACTCTTTGGAACTGGGAGTCCAAAGGACCCTTAACTATCAAAACTAGTGGGAACTCTGCTTACTCCAGTTTGATCAGTAAGTATGGAGGGTACATGCATATATGTAATTCAATATATGGCCCTACACGCAGTTGCTGTGAATTGCCATAAAGTGCTATATGAAAGCTCACAAAACACACCCTTCAATAAAGGTCTACATGGAAGGCAAGTTGTGAGTCCTAATCATGTACTTACTAATATCTCCAGCTCTCCACTAAAGTGGGAGGGAACGAAAGGGACCACAGGTGACCTGTCAGTGTTTACCCTCCATCATAAGGACAGAGTAATATGAGGCCTCAGACCTTGGGGGAAGGGTTCTCCCTTATATGGCCTATATAGGTTATAGGGGCTATATAGGCCCCAAAGGGTATGGTTTTTCAGCCATTTTGGTCATAAATAGGGTATCAATTTTGGCCATTTTGGTCATAAATAAGGTATGGTTTTTGCACTCTAGTCTTGAATTAAGTAAACTATGTTTTTTTAGAAGAAGCTACTTTTTCTTTATTATCAATAAGACCATCAAAAAAGCCCTTCATAAATCATGTTTAGGGCAACTGTGCCAGCCAAAATGGACATAAATAGGGTATTAAATTTGTGATGAGGTCATAAATAGGGTGGGGAGTATTGCAGATTTTGGTTATAAATAGGGTACATGTAAGGGTTTTGGGAAGCAGGCCGCACACCCCCACCCAATTATTCTGGGAGNCCCCCCCCAGGCCTCAGACATCTTGTACTCAGACACCAAACCCTACACACCTCAATAGAGGGGAAGGTATGACCACCAAAACCTGCCCATTGATGCCTGCATGTAGTCTTTTCAACATCTCAAAGACGATCATAGAGCAAATTCCCCAGGAAACAAGCATAATGGTAACCAGAAATGATTTTAGAAGAATTTCATGTCAACATGCCTACATGTGCTAAAATGCAATAATGTAGACAAAGATTACTCCTCTACATTGTACATTTAACTAAACTATTTAACATGCATATTTGATTATATAATCTAAGGTAATCACACATGTACATGTAGCATTGAATGGTGGACAAACTCACTGTTTCTTACATTTAAAGTTTAGCTACTTACCCTGTAAGATGTTATAAATTTGTTCTCTTTAAAGACCTTCATAGGATCCTCAATCTTCTTCAACAATGCCCTAGACCAAGTTATTGCACCAGCAACAAGAGGAGAATTACGAACAAGAGGTGGGCTCTCCTATGTTTTATAATTGACAGACAAATTTATTTAGAGTAGGTTGTCACACAATGTGAGTCATAAACGCCTTTACTCCCGTTCAAAAAACAATGATCAATACTTTTTTCATCATGAGTAGAATTTGATGGAAGCAATTACATTATCAATCAAAGTGCATGTGGATCTAACCAGTACAGTGCACTTGCATGTGGTTTTTGTGCAAAGTCTGTGTGACTCATGCACAAACAATGAACGTAATTAGGGGTTATACAAACAAAACACTTATGTTTAGGATTGCTCACTTGTCCAATGAAATGTAATGTACATTCTTCATGAGAAGTGTCACAAAGTTTCATTTTTATATTTCAATTTCATTTTCAAATTCATATCTGACTGAGTTATGTGTGTTTTTTTGACTTTTTACAAATGAGGACACTTTGTGATGTTTCACACGAGTAGCATGCATTTTATTAGCATGCAATCCTGGACATTCATGTATCTCCTACAAAAACAAGAATGTTGAACAACACAGAATATTTCTTCCTGCAGGACCCAAAATGCTGGTATACCGTGGAACCTGCCACCCCATTAATATGGCCACCTCCTTATTATGGCCACTTTCTCCTGGCCCTTGGAAACAAAACCTCAGTCAGTCAATTTCCTATTTAAAATAAGGCCACCTTGTTAATAGAGCCTTTTTGGGGGGCCCATTGTTGACCGGATTGATGGGGTTCCAGTGTACTTGAAGACGTTTCAACTTCAAATGTTCACAATGTTTTAACATTAATTTCATTCAGGGTGGGTGCGGAAACTGGCTTCCCTTTGACAAAATTGATAGAGGTTTTTTGGTCCTGTTGTCTTCGTATACAATAATGTATTGGTAGGTTTAAGGGTTAATCTAGAAGATCCTGGTCACAGTCACATGGAAGCTGCATAATGGGGCAAACATGGCATCGCATGTTGTTTATGCCCAAATTTTCAAGATGGCAGCATTCAAAGTGGAAAGGAAAATTACCAAAGACCTGGCCAGTACATACATGTAGATGAATATTAACCTCTTATTGTATTATATTTACTATGCCTAACCACTTCTTTCACACCTCATATTCCCCTAGGAAACTCAAAACTGTGGTCTAAGGAAAATTATGAGGAGCCCAAACAACTTTCCTAACCATAAAATCCTGGATGCCCAGCACTTAAGTTTAAATGAAAAAAGATCGCAGTTTTTCCAGTTGCCCAAAGGCAAAGATAAGTCACTTGTGGCAGCACCCCAGCACTTCTAGCGCACAGCCCTGAAACTGGAAAAATCAACCTAAGCCATAAACTGCAAGGAACTAGGGCAAGAGCAATGACTACAAATGTTGCAATGTAGTTCCTGTACATGTTTTAATTACCTTCTGGCTCTCATAGATTTTCTGCACATTTTCAAGTTCTGTTTCAAACCAGCCAAACACTTCAAGGAATTTTTCGGACAACACAGTCCTGAGGCCCGGTCTGTTTATCACACAGTTAAAGCTGTACAAAGACAACACACAAGAACTTTATACTGTTTTTACAATGCTTACTCGTACATGTACATTTAAGTTAACCTCGGCTTCCTTAATACTTAATACAGACATATTTATATTTACATAAATTCTTGGAACATTCTTTAAGATAGGACAGCAATCTGATTCTTGGGAAGTTCTTTTAGTCAGTCCTATGACGCTGCCACCCCCAGTTTTCAGGTGAGTATGATACAGTAAATAAACTCCTATTAACCGGCCACCTCTACTAAGCAACTGCAGCCACCTTTTGATCATCCCAATGAAGGCTTTCTATTGTCTTTACCCCTACTAAGCGGCCACACAAACTTAATCACAGTAACACATCTAGTTAATTGGCTTTGTTTTGACAGCTACAATGATTACTGTACTATACCTGGTCAGAATGTCAAGTGCCTGCCTGATATTTAACTTCAATGTAAACACACCCTGAAATAATTACACAGTCAACTAATCAGCTGATTAAATTGACTCCCTCTGAAGAAAACATGGTATAAATGTTTGCTACTGTAATAATTGATAATAACAGGATTCAAGAAAGGAAACTTGCAGCTGTGAACGTATCTGATTCTACATGTATTACAGTACCAACTTGTAAATCAACCATTCATTTGGGACATGCCTTACAATAAATATTTTGATAACATAGGATATGGCGTTCTCTGGTAAAAAGTATTTAAAGACATAAGCCTTCAACGGCCGGTCTACTGTCTTCACAATCTGTCAAAGACAGTAGACCGGAGAACGCTACAGTATATCCTACATGTACATTATCATAATCAATCCTGGTAACAGATCCGTGATATTTTTAAACACATATTTTGGTCACTTTAAAAAAAGTGATCTCTCGATCTCCTGGTTTGATATTAAAATTTACTATGAAAAAACAACAGAGTTGACAGAATTTTACCGGGTTCAGCATTGTTTGGGGGGACGGGAGATTCAATGTAGAAGACTTTGAGACAGAGAGTACATTTTACCTTAAGATAATTACAAATGTATGTCTCCATTCGTTGCACCCCAGCAACAAATGCTGTGTATTGCTCCTCAAATCGTTCCTTGCCTTTGCCTTCAACATCAAGAAATGTCTCAGTTGTGACAACATCCTCAAGCGGGGACCGAATAGAATGGATGGCATCTTGCAAAATGCTAGAAATGCTCTGCAACTCCATGCTTGAATTGTACACTTCTTGCACTTCTTCGTCTTCATCTAAACTCTCTAAAATGCTTTTCAACCCACCATCTTGTTTGCTGCTGGCTATAGAACCTGCGATGAGAATTTAACAAATAGGTCAGCTGACTGATTGGGTAAGTGGACTACGAAACACATGTTTAAAATTAATTATTATGAACACTAAACAGTATCATGTAAGCATTCTCCTCTTAGCTACTGATTAGTTTGCACTGTAACCCCTCCCAGGAGGGGGTACTCTACAAAGTTTTCTAGGGAGGCTCTGCCTAGAGTTCCAACCCCTTATCCTTTCGTTTACCATTTTGACAGAAAAGGTACCTGTTTCGTGTACCTTTTATTGAAAAAGGCATCCCTTTCACATACCAATTTAAGAACACTGCATCCCTTTTCTAAACCCCTGAAATGAAGTTAATGATGTAGTGCTTAATAATGACACAGCCATACATTGCATCTGTTCGAACTACATTGTTGTATTTTAATTAAAGGCCTTTTAAATAAGTAAATGACAGATTTCCCTACCCTTTCATATACCTCACCTTGTGAATTCTCTGCCCTTTTACATACCTGAAGCCTGAGAAAGGTGCTCCTTTTGATTGGGCAAAGCCTCCCTGTATATAGGCTGTTATATGAAGTACCCCCACCCCCTTCTCTAAGGATTTTGCTGGTACTGTCATAATCTGTGAAATGTCTACTAATACTCCTCTTGAAAATGGNCCCCCCCCCATTGGCTGCAAACATTTAATTTCATGATATATTAGTTAGTTAGGGTACAAGATGTCCTTGTTAGTCCGTTGTATGAGCATTTCTTCTTGAACATTTCTTCTTGGACAACGTCCTCTTCTAGTCTTTGTTTCACGCTCACCCAATCACAATACCCCAGAACTGCTTGGAGTTTTCTAGACAGTATGCAATTGTCGGGTAGTAGCCAACTTCCGAGGAGTTTCATATATGTGTACATGTAGAGACTCTACCTGGATAGCTATGGTCTGAACCACTTCCAACTGAACTGGCTCCTGCTGCCTTGTATCCACTGGCATCACCTGCCACCTTCAAGTGTGCATCACCCACAGTCTGTTCCTCATCCAAAGAGCCTGGGCCATTGATTACGACATCCCTTGTCACACGAGGCAAGTTCTTCACATCATTGCCAAGCTTTGAGAATTGTGAGAGAGTGTGAATGATGTCAATCATGCTACGAACATGGTTACAAAAGTTATCCAGGTGTGACATAATGGATTCTTCATCAGTGAAGGCAATACCACTGCTTCCATGACTTGCCATACTTTCATGGTCACCTTTAATTCTTGTACCTGTGAACCATACAAGTCAAACATTAATATATAATCACGTTGTAAGTAAACAAATCAGATTCAGTAACACCTTATAAATTACAGTGATGTAATAGTAAGTACATTGTATCATTCTTTCCTTTAAAGGGACTTTGAGCTTTTCAAATTCCTCCCTGGGGTTTCTACCCTTTTTCAAAAACAATTTTCTAGGACTCATCTAGGACTTACAATGTTTAGTTTTATTCTAAGAGATGTCCTTGTTACATGTATTCTTCAGATGATGGAGCTTGCCATCAATCTGTTCTTCAATTAATCTTTCAAGGTCACCATGTTTTCTTTAGCATATTCTGTAAGTATACCCTCTATTTAGATGTGTGTATAAATTATTAAGTTTAAAATAGACTACATTGCAAAAATACTATTGTATGAAATTTAAAGATCATCGCACAAAACTTTATGAAGAGGAGAGGTTTGTAACTTTTGCTTTCCATTAGATGGGGTTGCAGATTATTAGTTGAACATTTTCAAGGCATATGTGTACAGTTTGCAGTATGCTGAACAGCAATTATCATGCTAGAACAGTACTTACACTGTACAGTAATTTAGAGTACATATCTACTTTGTTCACACTTTGTTGGTTGAATATCTTGAATATGCACACTAACTGTAAAATGCTGTAGGAGACTCACAACTTACTTTGTGAAAATGAAAGTCTTAGGGGGCTGCCAGCAGCACTGGGTGACATCAAATTGGATGTACTGTTTGTTATAATAGAACGCTTCACTACTCCAGCTTGAAGAGCAGTCGGTGTCATGGACAACGTGTGAGAGCCCCCTAAACCATCTCTCAGACTTCTAAGCATGTCTCTGTACTGTTTGTGTAGTGAAAGGCAAACACTAAGGCGTGGAAGGAACCCATCATCATTGCCAAACATGATATCTTTGTTTCCTTTTCTCTTTCCTTTTTGTTTTGTTAACTGAGCTGCCTGACTCGAAGAGGACTCCATTTCTTCTTGAACCTTAGTCCATAGTTTGTCTTCTTCCAGTACTGTCGTGCTGGACTGAATGTAATCCCTTGCAGCCAGTACTAGCTGATTGGTGATCTATAACAGCATGATCAGAAATTACCTGTACCTGTATATCAATGCAGACCAACATCCAGGCATGTACATGTATATGAACATACACAAGACCATCAGAGGGGGCACGAGGAGAGTGGACTCCTTACAGTGCAAGAGCAAAGGGGGCACTTATAACAGACAACTACATATACTTTGTGGCTTACATTAAACACATCTATATATACATGAAGCCGCAGACTGTTGTACTATTTATACCATCTTGTTAAAAATGTAAGGCTACAAGTAGCTCAGCAAGCAGGGAGCTGAACCAAATCATGCACAGTGATTGGCTACCCAAGGAAGCAATATGGCGCAACCTTCATCACTTAAGATTATCTGCTGTGTCCGGCCTGGAGAAAAAAATGGTGTTCTTTATTAAGCTTGTCTGGCCAAGATGGCTGGATGTAGTTCTTTTTTGCATGCTGTGTTGATCTTGACTCCAGCATGTTATCATGTTCATAAACTGCAACTTAAAGAAGGACCTTGGCCAATATCCAGCCATCTTAAGCTCATGCTTGGTCAATAAATCATATAAATAGAAAGTGCAGTGCACGTACTAACTTCAAAAATTTGAAATGGCCAGAAGACAGAAAATCTTAATAATACCAATTTAAGCATCATGTTTGACCCCTGCCTGAACTGTGCAGTAATGCATGACTTGATTCCTTACCCAGCATACATGATTGTACATGTATAAAAAGAGTCCCCAGCCCCAGTCATTCGGACACTTAGATGATCAAACAGTAGGCGCCATTTTTGAGTTACATGTACCTTGCCTACCTCTGTGTCAACACAAATCTTCATATGAAACCATTCATATGAAAATGTGTTCTACCTACAGGTTCATTTTCATTCAAACTCATTTTTGTAAGAAAGGTTTTGCACAAAGACTTGTTTGAGAGCCACAAGGTAACTCG